TTTCCTATTTTCATTCACCATTTTACTATTACATAAGTTTACGTAATCAATTATCAATTGTGATAATTTTTGTTATCCTTTTACTATTACTAAGTTCGTTATAATCATTGATATATCATTATCATTATTATCATCATCATTATTATTTTCATTATTATTATCATTATCATTACCATTATCATTATTGTCATTGTTATCCTTATGATCCTTATTCTTTTAAAAAGTATCATCAACATCACAATCGGTTTCACCATTATCATTATCAATAATATTTATCAATAATATTATGATCATCATCATTAGGATTTTTATCATCAATATTATTAGTATTATCATGCTTGCCATTATCTATATCATTAATATTACTATTATTATAATTATTATAGTTGTAATCATTATTATTATAATCATTATCATCATCACCATTACTAATATCATTACCATTATCATTCTTATTGTTATTATCATAATCATTACTGTTATTATCATTGCCATTGTTATTATTATTACTATTTTATCAGTATTATCATTATTATTATTATTATCATGATAATAAATAGATTAGTAAATATAGATTGTGTGTTGATTCAGTGGGCAACATTTTTTTTTTTATCTTGAACGGGCCACAAATAAAGATAAATAGCTGATTATGATAATGATAGAATTAAGATATGAAAAAAGTTATTATTCAAAGGTTCTCAGGTACTAAGCCACTGATGTCTGATTATTGACACTGATTATTTCGTTATTGTTTTATTATTGTCGATGCTGTTCTTCTTGTGATCATTACTGTTACGGTTGTTGTAATTGTATTGTTATTATCGTTATATTTTTTCCTCTTTATGTTCATATTTGGTTGGTACTACTTTTATTATCACTGTTCTTGTTCTTGTTGACGTGTTACCTTTTTATCATTATTATTACACTGACATTATCAAGAGTATTTTTATCAGTCTGTATCGCTAGTATTACTACAATATTATGCAACTGTTCTCTTCGTCAGTAATATCACCACTGTTCTTCCTATTGCTGCCACTGTTATTATTTTCGTTGTTTATGGTATTAGCCATTTTTTATATCAATCTTATCCGTGTTTGTTTCATTGCGGTTATCATACAGGCATCACTTATATTTGTTACAAAATTTGTTGTTTTTCATTACATTCCCATCAATATTTTTATCACTATTGAGGGCTCTGTCTTTATTAACATCATCATATACTTATATATATGAAGACATGAACAGACCGATATATATATATATATATATATATATATATATATATATATATATATATATATATATATATATATATATATATATATATATATATATATATATATATGGTAATTTTCTATATTACCTTCGCCTCTCCGATATCGACGATTTTGGTATCGTTGGATTCCTCTCACTGTCCACACTGCAAATATATAGTTTTTATTGCGCGGAAACCCCCCGTTAGCGACAAAGTTGGCCCCGATAGCAGGGGAGGGCATGAAAGGTTCCAGGGAAAATGCGGGGTTAAATAACACTAATAATATAACCCACAGTGAAAATAACCATGGTTATTCACATGACTTTCCATTGCAGGGGGCTGTGCCCCCTGCGACCCCGGGGGGCTGCGCCCCCAACCCCGCCGAGGAAACAAAACCTCCACCAGTATACCCGGCAGGCTAGAGCGTTACACAGTTATCGGCGATCTCGGAGCGGCGGACGTATTACATTTACCTCTAAATTCCCACTGAATCAGCATGCTAACCTTGACATAGTCAACATTGTATACAGATACGATTGTAGTATACTCAGGATGAACAAGGTATACCATGAACAGAAGAGCGGCGGTGACCTGCCCTCGTCGGGTCGGCGGGTTTTGCGCATTTTTCGATGCATCTAGTTCGTGTGCGCTCTATCCTGCCGTGAATACGTGGGGGATATTTTGTGTTTCGGCGGGGGTTGGGGGGCGGCAGGCCCCCCAGGGGGGATCGCAGGGGCACACCGCGAAGGTAATATAGAAAATACCTATATATATATATATATATATATAATATATATATATATATATATATATATATATATATATATATATATATATATATATATATATATATATATATATATATATATATATATATATATATATATACCATATTCACGTTGACAATAGTAGAAAAGTTATGAAGGAGAATGAATATCTCTTGTATTGTAAAGATATGCATTCTCATTCATACCCTATATATATAGATAGATACATATAAATATATAGATAAATACATATATATATTTTTTCAATACAATAAAACAATCAAGCCTAGATAGTTGAACAAAATACTTTTTCGTCCCATTCATCCTCAGAGAACATGCTCAAACACAAAATGACTGTGATACATTCCATTCTTTTCGTTCACCTTTCGTGTACGAAGCAATCCGAAACAACATGACATTAGCATCCTCTGTACACTTTCCTGCCTCCGCCTCACCTTGATTCAGCCAGAGAAAGGGGTTTTCCACGCACTATAAAGCAATACGGGCTCTTCCTTTGGCATAATCCCAGTCGTGGGTTTCCTTCTTGTTCTATTTTGGTTTGGTTTGGTCTCTGCACTTACTGCTAATGATGGCCAAGTTCGTGTCCCTACTGGCCATGGGTAAGGCTGTGTTGCTAACGTTACTAAGTGTTGAAAATGGGTATTATGGTGGTGTACGCCAAGTACATGAGTAAGAAGATCAGTATTCACGTTTGGTTCTATCATGCTATTTTTCTCAGCTCTCCTGGGAGCTGTCCGTGCAGACATGGTTCCTCCCACATCAGGATACTCGTACGGCGCCCCCGACCTCAGGGCCGACGCCTCCACTCTCGACCAGCAGGAACAGGACCCCATCGCCGCCCTGGCAGCCAACATCCCCGGCGGAGGCGTCCCTGGCGAGGACTACCCCATCCTGGCCTCCGTCCCCGACACCGGATTCTCCTGCGAGGAACAACAATTCCCAGGCTACTACGCTGACACCGCCCCGGAGGCCGGCTGCCAAGTCTTCCACATCTGCCAGTTCGACGGCCGCCAGGACGCCTTCCTGTGCCCCAACGGCACCCTCTTCAACCAGCAGTACTTCGTGTGCGACTGGTGGTTCAACGTGGACTGCGCCGCGTCCGCACAGTTCCGAAGTCTCAACGCCGACATCGGCAAGATCCCCGAAGACGCCGCTGCCTCCGTCCGCGACGACGTCGTGGCACCCAACCAGCTGTATGGCACTCCCGAGGCGCGCCAGGTATCTCTTACTCCGTCGCAGTCGTACGGAAGACCAAATAGATTCTAAATGGCTAACAAAATGACAGTTTCCTGCTATGTAAATATCTCGAGTACCTCAAAAGGCTAGCATGTACAATTACTGTAAGTTGCCTATACAGTTTCTCATGTTTTGGCAAGTATAAGAAAATATTTGTGCTTTCGTGCAGGGAAGCAACAGAGCTTTCTTTCTGAATAAAAAAAGTATTTTATTCTCCTGTAACTTTTTATTATTTGATTTGAAATTTTACGCTTAGATATGTCTATTATATAATATATCTCGTTCTACACACACACACACACACACACACACACACACACACATATATATATATATATATATATATATATATATATATATATATATATATTATATATATATATATATATATATATATATATATATATATATATATATATATATGTATATATATAATGTATATATATATATATATATATATATATATATATATATATAATATATACGTGTGTGTGTATTTATATACATATATATACATATATATGTGTGTGTGAGTGTACGCATGAGTGTGTATATGTGTAAATGTGTATTTATTTATACTGTATAAAGTGAAAGAGACAACCAGAAAAATAAAAGAATAGATATCTCTAAATACTGTTGCTGTTGTTTCACTGATTTAAATGTCGCGCCTTTGTCACAGCGCAAAGGGCGGTGCAGGCGCTACATCGAATACCAAATTATCACGGACGGTCTAAGGCTCCTCTTTGCCTACGTGGTATCGAATCAGCTCTGTTTGCGGCTGAAATTGGTTTACTTCAGTGGAATTTTCAGGTTAGCTTCGCCAGGGAATAACACAAACGTAGCGGTCCCGATTCAGGTACTTTAAGCTGTCTCAATTGATTAATTATCACTGAATGCTTACCGTGGCAGCCAGACTATCAGCAGGCGCCCAAGCCTTCACGGTAAGCAGCCAGGAAACTATAAGTGGGTGGGCCTTTCCTTCTGTAGAGTGTGTGGCTGTGCTCCTGCAGAGTGGAAGAGGGTGGCATCCGACACGCTAATGCCACTGGCAACTCTGGTCAGCATACGGTCACTGCTGGTGATAATCTGTCATGCACAGAGGTAAACTATGATCATTCTGTGAAGAACTACTTTGACATCCATGGATTGCAATGCAAGGAATCCCAGTGATTCATGGCGTTCGGGTGCCATCTGGCCTAAAGAGAGGTTCTCGCTTTCTCTCTGTGAAGTTGCAGTCAGAGGCCTGTCCTGCGGCTATTCCCTGTGCCTCAAGAGTCTTTGGCTTGGCTGAAGGATAATAGCACTGGGAGGGGGTGAGGTTCCTAACCAATCGGATTTTGTCCGTCAGTAAACACTTTCCCTCTAATGGCAGTATAGCTGAGAGCTCACCTAATGGCGAATCGGAGGGAGGGAGAAAGGGGTATTACAAGGCTGATTCAATCGAGAGGAGGATCCCAAGCCCCGGCACCACGACAAAGCGGCTTCTGATTCGGGAGCGATGAAGGGCGCGGCGGATGACCCAACTCCCTTCCCTCCGCTGTGGGGATGGGAGCTTCTGGCAACGCGGGCGGGGCGTGGATTGAAGGCCGGCGGAGTGGAGGTTGGCCGTTAAAATCGCGTGTGGATGAGTGTCAGTGTGTCCTTGTTCTGTCTTTGTTTTTTCTGAATAGAGAATAAAATTATACGAAAATATTTCAATTTTTCCTCTGCCATAACACGTC